GGCGGGCAGTGGGCGGGGGCCACGTGGACGAGGGCCAGGCCGGGCCAGGGCTACAGGACCCAGGAACTCGACGTAGGTGCCGGGGAAGTCACCTCGTTGCCGCGTGCGCTCATTGAGGCCAGGCATCCAGCCCACGCTCTGTGGGCAGCGCTCGTTGCCCTCAGCCACGCCCAGCACCTGCAGGGCTGCCCGGCTCACCACCAACACGTCGCCCGGCAGCAGCTCCAGGTCTTCTGGCCGCTCCCGGCGGAATGGGTACAGCGCGCGGTACTGGAAGCCCTCAGCACCAGCCATGGCTGGGCAGGGTGGGGTCTGGACGGTCAAGCTGCTGCTCGGGGCCCCAGTGGCCCCATCAGCTGGGGTGAGGGCCGGGAGGGTCCGCTGAGTCGGCTTGGGGCACCGAGACCACTATTTCTACTGAGAAGTTACAGGTGACCACGGGGGTCACTCATGCCTTGCTTCCCACCATTATTCCATGACCCTGACATGGGTCACTCATTGCTCGGTCCACCATTCGTCAACTGGTGGGAGGGGGTCGGCAGCGTGGTCTCAGCTCACTCAGCTGCTGCGTCCCCCCTCACTCCGTAGGGCAGGGCCAGGCTGCTCACTCCCTCACATGGGGGGCCATCGGCGCCCGAGGCTGGCGGCTCTTCCGGCTGCGCCAGACGAGGGGGCCGAGGGCACAGGCTGTCACCATGCTTGGCCAGGACGCCGACCTAGGGGGAGATGGGCAGGGTGGCATCAGCCAGGTTGGGCTCCTCCCACCCCCACCCCAGAGATGGGCCCAAATATGGGGTCAGAATCCCCTGACTCACTATGTAACCTTGGGCCAGTCCTAGCCCCTCTCCAGGCTTGTTTCCCCAGCTGTAAAATGGGTGTAACAACAGCCCTCCCTTGGGGTCACTGGGAGCAGAGCTTCCAAGAACCTGCCCCAGGCATAACGCATGCTCACTAAATAAGCTCTTCATTGCCCCTCCATTAGAGATGGAGAAACTGAGGCTCAGAGCAGGGAGGTCTTTGTTGGACCACTCAGTGGGCCAGGAAGCCAGGACTCATAAACCAAGATCCACCCAACCTCAAGGCCCAGAATGGATTGCAGGAGGTAGCAGCCACATGGCTAGATAGTTATACCCAGAGTGGGTGGAGTGTGATGGGGAATGCTCAGGGTACTGTGGGAGCCCGGAGGAGGGGCCGGGCCAGCTGAGCACAAAAGGAGGCAGTAAGGAAGCAAAGAGGTAGGAAAGCAGGTCCAGGCAGAGGCCCAGCACAGGCAAAGGACTAAGAAGTGAGTCCAAGGTCTCTGCAGGGGAGAAATGAAGTGGGGGGACAGTGTTCCGGCTTGGCTAAATGAAGGGCCTAGAACAGGATCTCAAAACACGAGGGGGGGTCATGGGAGACCAAGGGGACCTTGGCCCCCCAATGCAAGGCAGACATGGAGCCAGGACAGCGTGAATGCGAGATGGGCATCACAGCTGCCAAGCGGGGAGGCTGCTGGATGCAGGGCAATGCTCAAGCCCCGGGAGCCCCAAGTCTTGGGGAAACAGCCCACCACAGACAGCCTTCCCAGTGTCAGCCCTGCAGGTTCAGTTCTCCTGAGACTGGGTGGTGGGGGAGGGCGTGCTTTTCTAGAGGGCGGGTCTTCACAGAGAACTGGAGACAGCACTGGCTAAGGGAATAGAGCGTGCAAAGGCTTGACAGCGGGAAGTTGCTTGCCAAGAGTTCAGGGTGGCTCTATGAAAGCCACCAAGCCACCACGCTGGTCCTCGAGTACCAGTTAGAGGGTGGGCTTTATCCCCCCCGACCACGAGAGCCCCAGAAGGTGTCGGAGCAGGGAGCAGAGGCTCCACATTCCGGGGCGCCCAAACTTACCCGCTTCCTGGCCTCCCGTACTCCCATTCTACAGGTGGGGAAACTGAGGCCCAGTTAGGGGACCATCCAGGAAACCACCTGGATCCGCTTGCCTGCCCGCCTCCGCGCTCCAGCATGCACAGGTTTGCACACGCCCCGGTGTGTGCGCCCAGGGAACCGGCGCTCCCCGAATCCAAAAGGCGGGGTGGAGGGGCCAGGCCTGGCCAGGGGCTCGCCGGCTGCACGCAGGGCTCGCGCCCGCTCACGCGTGCTCAGACGCGCACTCGGGCCTGCGTGGACCCGGCAGCCTAGCCCGGGGAACGGAAGTGGAGTCGACCCCCGACCCTCCTGCATCCCACTACGTCCCACACAATGCCTGGGTGCCCCTCATTGCTGCTCGACGCCCCATTCCACGCAGGGCCTCCTTCTCCATTCGGGGCCGCAGCCCCAGCCCCTTATCTCGGCCTGGGGGCACCCCGTTCCTGTCCCCCGGTCCCGGGCAGGCAGCACTGCTGCTAGGTCCAGCCCGAGGCCTCCCTCCCGTTCCCTGAGGCCCCCAGTTCCCGCGGGGCGCGATGCAGCTCGGCGCTCGCGTTCTGACTTCCACCTCGGCCCCACACTCCACTTAGGAGCCGCGCATTTGAGCGCACCCCAGCCCGGCCTGCCACGCCGGCCGGCCTGGACTTACCTGGTCGCGGCTGCCACCGCCGCCGAGGCCGCCGTCACACCGAGCCGAGCCCGACCCGTGGCTCCACCGCGGCCGCCGTCGCCGCAGCCGCGGGATCCCCGCCTCCGCCACCGCGGTTCCGAACAGCTGGGCCCGCCCCCGGCGGAAATGGCCGAGCGCATTCGGGCCGGGCGGGTGCAGCTAGGTGGAGGCGGAGCCTCGAGACGTCCGAGTATTTCCGGAAAGAACCGAACATACTCCCGCGGGACTGGCGGGTAGAAGATGCCCCGAGATCGCCGATCATTTCCGGAGACAGCCGAGTGCAGTCGGGTCAGCGAAGCCTTTCCCTAAGCTCGGCTGGGCTTTGAGATGCCCGAGCGATTCCGGAAATCGCCGAGTGCCTTCCAGCTGGACTGATAGAACACAGGCTGAGCCTCCGGACTGCGGAAAGTTTTGGAAAGAACCGAGTATGCTTGGACCCAGATAGAGGCCCTGGAAGTTTAGACCCAGAGGCTGACCACTAACTTCCCGAAATTGCCAAGAATGGATGACTCCAAAGGGCGAGTGAGGCGGCCCCGAGCTCAGGGGAAGAGGAGAGACGTTGGGGTGGGAAAGGAGCTCGCCACGGAAAGCTGAGCTTTTCGGGAAAGCGGAATAGGTCGGGTTGAAAGCGTTTCCATGGCAGCCTAGAGCGTCCGGAAACAGCTGAACGAACTGCAGTCCTGCGAGCGCTAGAGCACGCCCAAGGGCCCAGATGCGGACGATTGTTTCCGGAAATAGCCGAAGACACTCGGAAACGGGGGGCGTGGTCAAAGGTTTCTGGTGCTACCAAGAACTCAGGAAGTAACCCAAAGCACTCAAGATGGGTTGGGTTGGGGGTTTGGGGCGGGGGTGGGGTGCTATGGGGCACAGTCCAAACAAAACCTGTATAGAAAGGACACAAAGATGGTTTATTTATTTTATTAACACAGCTCAGGGCCCCAGATCGGTGTCTGGATGAAGATTTTAAGGGCAGAGCCTATGATGGGTACTCAGGGAGGGGGCAGCAGGAGTCCAGGGGCCTGAGAAGGCATCAGGGAGATAATCTCATTGGTGAACTCCTATGCAGCCTTCAAAACCCCTTCAAATGAAGCCAGTTTTCACCCTGTCCCCACCGCACTCTTCCCTTACCCCTTTCTTTGCCCCTCACAAATCCAGACATTGGACCTCCTCTTTGTAAATGTGGGCTTTTATTCACGGTCAGCTCCAGGATGGAAAGAGGGAGCAAGTCATGCACAGCCTTGGTCTAGCTCCAACACCAGCCAATGCTGGGTGGGGGTCTCTGGGGAGGGATGCAGAGTGGGCTGCAGTGCCTGGAAAGTGCCCTCACCATGTGGGGCACAGTGATCTTGCCAGGCACCTCCAAATAGGAAATGGAGGTTCTGTCTGACATGCCTAGTGGGTCACATAGCATCCTAGGGAAGAGAGCTGGAGATGGAGTCAGCTGTTAATCTGGCACCAGACTCCTCCATTCAAGCTCCCTTGTTGACAAGGCCCACCAAAGGGCCTGGCTGCATGATTTTTACCAGGTGATTGTGGGACAAGTCTCCACCCCTCACCAGGCCTCAGTTACTTGTCTGTAAAATGGGGATGATGACACCACCTGCAGCCTTCTCAAGGCTGGCTGAGGGAGAAGCCACAAGTAAAAGCGTTTGGCATAGAGTAGATGCTTAATAAATAGTCACTGGGATTAGTTTTTGTAAACACAAGGAAACTGAGGCACAGAGCGGGAAAGCCATTTTCCCAGAGCCACACAGGGAAGCCAAGATTCAGACTTGTGCCCCATTGCCCCCCAGTTGGGTTTTCTCACTTGAACTTCATTCTAGGAAGGCTGTGACACATTGAGGGACACCCCATGGGGTGTTTCAGACACATCATGGTCAAGGGCTCACCCTGGTGGGCATTAAGCACATGAAATCTTGTGCAGGGCGGACACTCTTTTCCTGCCCTGGCAGTACCCTTGGAGTCCTGAGTCTCCCGCCCAGGGCATCAGTGCCACCCTGTGGGATGGGTGACCCCTCTGCCTAGATCTGGTGAACTCCTACTCATCCATCAAAGTTCCAGTTCCCACACCCCCTCCTCCAGGCTGAAGCCTTCAGGACTAGAAGTAAACTCTAGCAAGACTGGCCTAGGGATGGAGGCTATGACAGTGAGAAGTAGCTTTCAGAATCCAGTCCATCATCGAGATTGCTTGTTTTGTGGGAGAGGGGAATCATTTGTAGACTCTCCAAGTCATACCCAAACTGGGCCCGGACAGGTAAGCTTGCCTGTATCCCCTCAAATCAGTGGGTATTGGGCCAGGATGGGATCAAGTAACACAAAAAAACTAAAAAATACAGAAAACCTAGAAAACACGAACATACATGACTTGTCCAAGTGCTTCCTTCTCAGCCCAGGGGGCAGCGTCTGCAAACGGGGTCCCAGGTGCAATGGGCAGGACCTGGGCAGCCACCTTCACAGTGGCGGCTCAGTCTACCTATCGCTTATAAAAAGTAATAAATTAGTCGCAGGGATTGGCTGCTATTTACAATGCCACCCTTGTCCCCCATTCCTGCCCCTATGGCCCCTGATCTGTACCAGAACAGAGGGAGGTGCCGCCTCCGCCTTCCAGTAAGGACCGAGATGGCTTCTCGCCTTCCAGGTATCATAGTCTGGTGGCTCAGTCTCCATCCAGAAGTCACTTTATGGAAAAAACATTGCACAAAAAATAGCCCAACTTCTAGGCCAGGGAGAGGCCAGGTGGGAGGGATCAGTCCTTCCCGGCAGGTCCAAGGGCTCCCAGCACAGCCTCTGCGCCCTCCACGGCAATCTGTGGTACGGAGGTGAGCGGCCCAGTGGCCTCCTCGGGCGGCTCATCAAAGCTCACCTCCTGCACAGCCTCCTGTTTCTTGAAGGAGTCTCGGCGCTCGGACAGGTGTAGCCGCCGCATGACCACCAGCTCCGAGTCTGGCCCGCGGCCGCGGCGTCCCAGCTCCCCATCCAGCCGTTCACCTGAACCCAGCTTGTCAGCTGACTGGCCCCGGCGCAACCGTGGAGACCGGGCAGGTGCGGGCGGGTGTCCGGGGAGGGGTGAGGGTGAGCGGGGTGGGGGAACAGGCACGGGTGGGCAGGCCAGTGGGGAGGGCGGGATACTGCTGGTAGACTTGCGGCGACCGGTCTTGGGGCGGGGTGGCCCGAGCTTGGCGGCCAGGCCATGCAGGGAGCTAGGGCGGGTGTGGCCAGCGGCGGCGGGAGAGGCAGGGCTGCTGGAGCTCGGGGAGGCACTGGGAGGGGATGCCGTGTCTGTGGAAGACAGATGAGGGTCAGGGTCACCAGCCTCAATGTCTCCAGCCTCAAGGTGGGGCCCCGGGGCTGAGCATACCTGCCAAAGCCCACGCCCTTCCCTGTGGCCACCCAGTATGCCCGCTTTTCTTGCCTCCTATTCCATGTGCAAGTTGTTCCCTTGGCTTAGATCTGGTGAACTCATACTCACCCATCAAAGCCCTAGTTCCTATCCACCCGCCTCGCATCTAATGACCTACCACTCAATGGGCCAAAGATACGCTCCACCCCATGAAGTCAGGGTGAGCCAGAGGGGTAGCAACTGGGGTGCCCAGGCCTCCTGGAGGCCGTCCCTGCTTCCCCTTTGGGTTGCCCCAGCCTGTTCCTCCCTTCAGCCGGATGCTAACCCAGTGGGGCTGGGGGTGTCTGTGTCTGGCTGTCTCACAGACTGGGGGCACTCAGCATTGGGCCAAATCACCATCCTTTCCTGCCCCAGAATGATCTTTCTAAAACTCAGACCCCTCTAAAACATGCCTTCTCCAGCTCACACACCCTCCATGGCTCCCAACTGCCCACCAACATAAGTCCAGCTCCTTGGCTTGACTCATCTCCCAACTTCCTCTCTCCCCTGCTTTCTTTCTTTCTTTTTTTTTTTTAAAGATTATTTATTTGAGAGAGAGAGAATGAGAGATAGAGAGCACGAGAGGGAGAAGCAGACTCCCTGCTGAGCAGGGAGCCTGATGCGGGACTCGATCCCGGGACTCCAGGATCATGACCTGAGCTGAAGGCAGTCGCTTAACCAACTGAGCCACCCAGGCGCCCCTCTCCCCTGCTTTCTTAACCCTCCTGTCCAGCCCCCTCTGTTCATGATGCTCCCTCTCCTGGGCACACTCTTCCCTGCTCTCACTCCTGTCTCCTACCACCTCCAGGCTGCCTAGAAAGGCCCTTCTGGTCACCTCATTTCCCACATCATGTCATTCCCTCCTTTAAACCCTGCTGGCTCCCTCAATGGGGCCAGGCACCACAGACCTGAGCTGCCCTGGGGTGGCACACGTACCTGCTGGGGCATCGGGAGCTGGGCTGCGGCAAGGCGTGGTGGGGCTGGGGGAGAGGCTGTGGGTGGGTGACCCTGGGAGGCTTTCGCTGGACGACAGGGAGTGGTGGAGGCCGGAAGAGAAGCTGCGGCTGGTGTGTAGCACAGAGGACTGTTTTGAGATCTTCTTGAAGAGCGACTTCCGCCTGAGGGTGGGAAGCCCTGATGCTTCAGAACCCACGCCCCCAGCAGCCCGGGGAGCTGGCCCCCGGGTCCTCCACCAACACTCCGTGGAGGGCCCACCCGCCGCTCACCGGTCCTGTGTCTCCCGCCGGCGGCTCCGCTTGCTCCGGCGTGCCATGCGGCCCTTGGCCACATTCTTCCGGGCGGGGCCCACCTTGATGGAGGTGTTCTCCAGGGCGGTGGTCCGGAGGGCGATCTTGTTGCCGCTCTGCAGGAGGGATGGCGAGGGGTCACCTGGATGCCTCCCATCTAGGGAGCCACCCACCCACCCGCCTACCTCCTCATCCATCGGAGCCCCCGAGCCTACCTGCCCACTTCTCACCTAATGACCCACCGCCTGGTGGGCCAAAGGTACATGTCCACCAACTTTCTGTCCATGCAATGAGCTGCCCCCCCCCCCCCCCCCCCGCCGGTCCTAGGAGCTATCCAAACAAGGCCCTGCCTCCTGGCTTGTGTCCGCCTCCCTACCACCAGGCCTCAGCAGGGTGAGCCAGAGGGAGGGCCAAAAGTAGGGGCACCTGGGGGACTAAGAAGGAGGTACATCCTGGGCAGAGTGGAGGGGACATGCAAGGCCTGGAACTGGGACCAGGTGTGGAAAGGTGTGGTTCCAGGGGGAGAACCTCAGCATCAGGGGCTGTCAGGGGGTCAGAGGAGCAAACCAGAGGGTAGGCAGTGGGGGCAGATCTGAGGGCCCTGAGGATGGACAGGGGGTAGGGGTTCTGGGAGCCCCAAGGGTGGGCAGTGGTGGGGGCTGTACCTTCAGCAGCAGCTCAACGACATCCATGTGCACAAGCCCCAGGACTGACTCCCCGTTGATGTGGGTGATGAGGTCCCCGGCTCGCAGGCCCGCCTCCTGGGCGGGGCTTCCCTCCTCCACATTCTGGGGGTGAGGGTGGATGGTAGCATCAGCGGTCTGGGGCCCCACAGCTGGAGACCCCGTGCCAGCTGGGTCAGCCATGGGACCCCAGCAAGCTGCTGCCTCCCATGCTGTTTCCTTGACCTTGGGGGCTGTTCAGAGAGTGACTGGTGGGGAGGGAACAGGCCCTGGGCTGGGAGGAGGCAGGACGACACTCCCACTGTGCATCTGTGGGCAGGGGCTAGGAGCTTCATGCCCAACTGAGGTCTCTAACCCTCTGTCTGTCCCTGTCCGTCTTGCCCAAGCCCCTCCCCATAAGGAAGAGGGACTGCAAAGACCCAGGTGGCACCAGCTCCCAGCCCTGGGCTCCAAAACCTTGCAGGCAATGAGACTAGAAAGTGCGGCTCCAAAAGTGAAGCATCTTGCCAGGGGGGAAGCTAGACTCAAACCAGGTCCCGCTCTTCCTGCTCACCCCAAGGCCAACTTACCCAGACAACGTGGTGCACGGTGTAGACATCGCTGTCGCCCATGTAGACGCGGATGGCCCGCAGGCTGAAGCCATACTTCTTGCCTGAGCTGTGGATGACAATGGGGGGCCGCAGGCTGCCACACACGGGGGACGGGTCTCGGCTTGGAGAGGAGTCTCGGGACGATGGGTTCGAGGACAGCGAGCGTGGGGACAGAGGGCTCATGAGGGGGCCGCCGCTGCCATCATCTGCAGGACCAGGGTTGGGAGGGGGTCACTCTCTTGCAGGGACCAGGGCCGGGAGGGCCGGGAGGGCCGTCCCCCCACCAAGCTGATCACTCTGGCTGCTTTCCTGTTGTTCCAAGGCCCCCAGCACAGCCCCCCCACCTGGCCTTTGCACATGGAGTGCCCTCTGCCGGAAATGCCAGTCCCCCAGCTCTCCCTGGGGCTAGCTGCTTCCCCCGTCCCGGGGCAGGGCCCCAACCCGGGGGTCAAAACAGACGTGGACAGACAAGCAAAGACAAGGCTGGGCCACGCGCAGTACCGGCTGTGATGATGAGGGACAGGGCGGACACTGAGGCAGACTTGGGCACGCGGCCCCCGCTGGGGGAGACCCGAGACTTCTCGGGAGCCGGGTCTCTTGAGCCCCCGAGGCGGCGGCCCCGACCAGCATCCAGGGCCCGCGGTGTCGAGTGTCGCGCACCAGTGCTGTTGCTTCGTAGGCGTGCGTGGCTGAGGGCAGCTGTGTCGGCTAGGGGTGAGCAGGGTTGGCGGTCAGCCCGGCCACTCTCGCCATTCCGCCCCCTGCCCTCAGGAGGCAAAGCCCCTTCCTCCCCAGTTGGTGTGTACACCGTCCAGCCTCCTCCCGGCAGTTCCCCCTTCCTACACTTCCTTCCTGCCCTGCTCTCCCTGGAAAGCTCCACTCTTCAAGTCCCCTCCTCTAAGAAGCCTTCCCCCACCCCTCAGACCCCTACACCCCTCTCAGAGCTCCCCAGCCTCATCCCCTTCTCCAGTCCCACCCTGACCCCATGAAGCTGGGGGTATCACCCCTAGATTGGGAGTAACACTGAGGCCTGAGGCCTCTCTGGAGCCCTGGCCTCTCCTATCTTAAAGCCTTTGTTAGACGAGCGAATGGTCTCTCTGGAGAGCTCCTACTCAGCCTTCAAAACCCATCTCAAATAGTCCCTCCTTTGGGAAACTTTCTACAATACGATCCCTCCCGTCCGGGACCTCACCTACCAGAAAGGCTTGAGGGCTTGGGCATCACTGGGGTGGCTGCTGGGGGTGGATCAGGCTCCCCCAGAATGAAGATGGGCCTCTTGGGGCCTGCAGAGGCTGGGCTGGCTCCCTCGTCCTCTGACGAGAAGGCAAACTTGGGCATTGTGTCCAGGATAATAGTATTCAAGAGAGATGGGCTGGGGCCCCTCTCAGGCTGGGAAGAAGAAGACTGGCAGGAAGAACCAGAGGATGTCCAGGACCTCAGTCTGCAGCAGAGGAGAGCCAAAGTTACACTTGCCAGGTACCCTCACCCCAGGACACCCAGTCACCCCTAGTGGCCATATTTTAATTCTCAGCTTAGAAACAGAGGTAATTTGTAAATGCGGGGTGAATTCCCTCAGCATGCTCGGTCCTCTGTCTGCCCAGAGAATTTCTGTCTTTTATTTTATTTTTTTTTAAGATTTTATTTATTTATTTGACAGAGAGACACAAGCAGGGGGAGTGGGAGAGGGAGAAGCTGGCTTCCCGCTGAGCAGGGAGCCTGACATGGGACTCAATCCCAGGACCTCGGGATCATGACCTGAGCCGAAGGCAGACGCTTAACTGACTGAGCCACCCAGGCGCCCCTCTGTCTGTCTTCTAAAACCCAGCTTCCAACACCCCTCCGTTAGCAGACATTGATTATTTTTCTGCTGAGTCTGGTCTTTGAAGAATGACCAGGAGTTCGTTAGGAAAGGGTATTCTGGAACAGGGCAAGCAAAAGCCTAACAGTATGACCGCGTAGTTGCTCTATGCTCAGTGTGGTCCGGGGTGCAAAGCCAGGGGGCCACGTTGGTGGGGCTCTGACACGCCAGCCCACGTGTTTGACCCTTTTCGACTGGGCCACTGGGAAGCTTTCTCCAGCGTTAGACCTTGTGGTCCCCACCTCCCAGCAGGCTTGGTGGCTGGATCTGCGCACACTCCCCAGCCCACCTACCTGATCTCCACGCTCAAGCGGCGGCCGGACTCGCCCTCACCGCTGCGCTCCCACCCTTCCTCCCGGTCCTCACTGAAGCTCCGCTCGGCGAAGGTTGGGGTGGGCTGGGCGGCCAGGAACTCGGAGCTGCTATAGACCTGGCAGCAACGGAATATAACAGTAAGGACAGAGACACAGGCAGCCACACCCGGGGGAAGAGCTGGCTTCGTTGAATGCTTCCTATAAGTCCGACGCTTCCTTGTGAGTCATTTCCTTCTATCCATACTCGCCACATCCCTAAGAACAGAAGAGTCTTTAGCCCACTGTACAGATGGAGAAACTGAGGCTCAGAGGGCCCTGGCTACCGACGGGGCCACAGCTGGGGTTCCTGCTGCTGATCGGGATGCTCTGCGTGGGTCTCAAGCCCGCAAGCAGCACAGAAGGTTTTTTTCATCCAATTATAAACGAAGGAAGGCGCTTAAGCTGGTGAGGCTCTAAAGTGAGCGAGGAGCACTGTTCACAAGCACCTCAACGCAGGCACACCCCTAATGTCCATCAACGGAGGGGTAAATACAGTGTGGCCCATCCACGCAACGGAATATCACTCAGCCATAAAGAGGAACCAAGCTCTGACACGCGCTACACCGTGGATGAGCCTCGAAGACGTTGTGCTGAGCGGAAGAGGTCAGACATGAAAGGCCACGTGTTGTGTGATTCCACTTAGGTGAAAGATCCAGAAGAGGCCAATCCAGAGACAGAAAGCAGATTGGTGGTTGCCAGGCGCCGGGGGAGGGGGGCAGGAGAGTGACTGCTCGTGGGGGCGGGGGTGATGGGAAGGTTCTAGACCTAGACAGAGGTGATGGGTGTCCAACATTCTGAATGTACTAAATGGTGCTGAACTGTAGTTTAAAATGGCTAATGTGGTACATTTTATATGTATTCTTACCACAATAAAAAAAAAAAAGGTAGAACACCGCCGCCCCCCACCCCCCGCCCCAACCCGCCCAGTGAACATCTTGCCGTGTTTCCTGAGTGCTAGCTGTGTCTACGCCCCAGGCCCACCTTGCTGAACCGGTGGGAACAAGACGAGAACTGAGGGATCTCTGTGGATGACTCCTCGTCATTGGTCTCCTCATCCTCCGAGCCCAGGTGGCGGTAACGTTCCGAACGTGCTGGGGAGGGAAAGGCACGTGCAGCCCACCTGATGTCCGCAGGTGGCCGCAAGGGCTGTGGGGTGATGTGGGGAGGGCGTCCCAGGCGGGGAGACACTGTCAGGGCAAAGGGATCGAGGTGGGACAATGTCTGGTGTATTTAGGGACCACAGGAGGCTTGAGTGGCAGAGTGAGTACCTGGCAATAAACAACTCAGCTGCATCCCTACGATCTGCGGGATCGTGGGTGGGCATTCTTGTCTGACCCTCAGTCTCCTCACCCCTGAGATGGGTCACCCAGAAGTAGGTAATACTGGGCATCTTAAAAGGATGCTCCCTATTTTACAGAAGAGGAAACATGCTCAGAGAGGACCTCTGACATGCCCAAAAGCACAGCAAGGTCTGGAGGAGGTGCCGGGAACCGAGGGCATTTCATCTGCTTGGCTGGAGCCCCAAGTGGGCAGAGGAAGACTTGTCTGAGCCCACCCACAGTGTTGGAGGGGTTCCCCCCACAAAGCCCAGCAAAGCGCCCCGCCCTTCTATGTGACAAACAGGGCTCCGTGCCTGGTCAAGGCTGGACACTCAGGAGGCTGAACTTGCTAGGGATGCCAGGCAAGGGTCTGCCACACTCAGCGCCTCGGTTTCCCCTCCTGCAATCCGGAAGGATGCTGTGGCCTCCTGACCCCAGATGCACAGGAAACCAGCCGGGGGGGTGGGGTGGGGTGGGCAGCTACCAGCAGACATGCTCTAATTTCTCAGAAAGCTCAGAAGTCAGAAGCTCCAGGCTCAGGGCGAGGCGCTTGGGTGGAGACCCTGGCAGACACCCCACCCCATCTCAGGCGAATGTGGGACAGCAGAGTCCGCCCCCTTGACCCCTACTTACTGTCAAAGTAGCTGGTGTCATCCTCGGCTTCAAGCTGTGGCACAAACTCAGCTTTGTGTCGCAGAAGCCCGGCCCAGTCCAGTGTCCAGAAGAAGGGGTGCTGCTTTACCTCGTGGGTGCCACCTACAGACATGCCCAGCTCAGCCCTGCAGCTCCCTGTCCCCACTGCCCTCTGGGTCAACTATGAGCCCAAACTTGGCCAACACAGAACCATAAAGATGGCGAGGGGAGCAGCTGCTGTTTCAGAGTCTGCAGAGGGACAGAGCCGGGGCTAGAACCCAGGCCCTGCTCTTGCCTCTGCTGGATTCTGAGATCCCACCACCCGGAGAAACCCCAGAGCCCTAGGAGGGCTTCCTTCCCAGGCCTTTTCCATGCATATCTACTCCATGGAGTAGACTGACTGTGTGAGGGTATCCTGTTCCCCAGCCTCAGCCCCTATGGTCCTCTCCAGTGGCTAGGCTTCATCATGCACGTGACCTGTAGTGGCTGTGTAATGGGTTGCTGCAAGAGTCTCAGTCCCTTAACCATTAATTAGGTGGCTAAGGAAATCTGAACAGTGGGATCCACTGGGCTGGGCCTTTGAGGACCTTAGGACACAGCCCATGATGACCCTGCAGGCTCCCATACTCACTGTCAGTGCCTCTTGTCTGCATCAGACCCAGCTCCCTGTTAGCTCCTGGTGAACTCCTATGTATCCTTCAAAACCCCAGCCCCAATCCCCCCTCCTCTATGTAGCCTCTCGAGTTATTGCTTCCCCACCCCCCTGCCCCCCTGCCCCAATCACATACCAGTGCCCAGACGGTCCAGTGGGCTCTGTCGGAGCAGCCTGGTGATGAGGTCTTGGGCATCAGCTGGGAGGGCCTCATCCCCTTCTGGCCACATGATCTCATCTAAAATGAGGAAAGGGGAAAAAAATTAAATTAAATTAATAAAATGAAATAAAAGAAAATAGGAGAGGGAGTGAGAGGGTGAGGCTAGCCCTTCGTAGCACCTCCGACCACCTCCCCTCACTCAGTGCACACCAAGCCGTCGGCCTCCTCTGTTCCTTCAACACACCAGGCTCAGTCCCACCCACAGCCTTTGCTCCGGCTGTACCCCCCCTACCAGGGCCGTACCCCTCTTCTACTTCTGTGGCTCCCTTTCGCTCCTTCAGGCTGTGCTCACACTGTCACCTCAGCAAGGCCTCCGTGACCCCCTATTTAAGGCAGCCCCCACCACATCTGGTACCCCATCCTCTCCCATCTTCCTGCTTTTTTTCCTTGGCATTTTTTTGTACCTGATGTTCGGTAATTTGCTCATTGACCTCCCTCACTGTCTGTCTTGCCCTTGGCCATGTCCCCAGTGTCTGGTTGGGGCTAGGCACCCTGTAGGGGGGCTGCGGCCCAGAGCCCCAGTGGGGCCAAGACTCGAACCGCGGCCATGGTGGGGGAAACGCACCACTGACCACCTGGCCAAAGAGTTCCTCGGGGGTATCTCCGAAGAAAGGCACACAGCCCACCAGGAATTCATAGAGGACAACACCCATGGCCCACCAGTCCACTGGCTTCCCGTAGCCCTGGCGGAAGATCACCTCGGGCGCGATGTACTCAGGCGTCCCGCACACCTGGGTCAGGCAGAATGGGGAAAAGGAGGGTGGCCTCCAACTCCAGAGAGGCCACAGGAGAGATGGAGAGGTCAAGGCCAGGCTGGGCACAGGGGTGGAGAGAATTATGGGGGAGGGGGGGCAATTTATCTTCTCCTTTGTGCTGCAAAATCTCCCCATGTCCTGAGGGTCAGGATCCAGACAGAGGGAGGCGGTCCCGCACCCACAGCCCCCTGCCCACCCGCACACCTGCTTGTCCACGAACTCCCGGGTGTCCTTCTCGATGTGGCCCTCGTAGAGGTTGGTGGCCATGCTCATGAGCCCAATCTTGGACAGGCCAAAGTCGGTCAGCTTGATGTGGCCAAGTGAGGTGATGAGTAGGCTGTGGGCGGGTGGGTGGTGCACTCAGGGCCAGGGGGCCCGAGGTGCCTGGCCGCTCATACCACCCCAGAACTTGGTGCCACCCCAGGTGGGCTGAGGTCCAGCCAGGGCAGCTTCACTCCCCGGAGGGGGTCTGAAAGAGCTTCCTGAACACAGGCACATTATCACAAGATCCAGTAGGTTTGGGCGGTATTTCGAATCTGGCAAACATCTTGGTGCACCTACTGGATGCGTCTGCTGTTGCTGCTGAGCACCAACTGTATACTCCACTGTTCAAATACAAATTTCCTGAGAATCACTCCGTCTCCCCACTGTGCATTAAAACGTCTGAACACCTACTGGGTGGATCTAAAATATATGTTTGTACATGTGTCCATTCTTTTTAACAAACTAAATGCTTTGCAAACACTTATTGTTTACATTCCCTGTCGAACAATGACCATACTTTGAGCATGTGCTCACGTATGTATACAGAAATCTTTCTGTGCACCTCCTGCGGAGACCCACTTTTAAAAACTTGGACACCTACCATGTACCCTGCTGTTCAAGTTTTCCCATCAGCTTAAGTACATACACGTTTTGCGAGGTGATGCAACCACATGGACCATCTTTATAAAGTCACATTTTTATGTACCTCCTGGTACACGGGCTGCTTCATTTCTAGAGAACTCACTGTGTATATCCAAGCTGTTTGATAAACCCTTTATTTGGCACATCCTGTATATATAACCTGACTCTATAAAAAAAATAATTCTGTGCACCTACTATGTGTAGCCACTATTTTTAAAGAGATGTTTCCTGAGCAACTACTGTGTACATCAGCTGAGGAAAACCATTTTGGTGTAGCCCCCAGGTGCAGTTAAAACCAAGGGCTTGGGGTGCCTGTGTGGCTCAGTCGGTTAAGCAGTCTGCCTTCAGCTCAGGTCATGATCCCAGGGTCCTGGGATTGAGCCCTGTGTCGGGCTCCCTGCTCGGCGGGAAGCCTGTTTCTCCCTCTGCCACTCCCCCTGCTTGTGTTCCCTCTCTCGCTGTGTTTCTATCAGATAAATAAATAAAATCTTTAAAAAAATAAAATAAAATAAAATATCAAAAACCGAGGGCTTAGGCAGGCCTGGGGCCATCCACTGGTAAGACAGCCAATACTTCTGGAGTTCCTATGGGCCCATGCCTGTCTAAAAAACATTCACCTCTTGAACACCGACTATATGAGCTATTTAAGAAAAATGTTTTCCTTCTTAGAAATGAAATGCTATGATGCTGGGGATATGCTTCAAATTACCCAGCCTGGGCGGAGGAGGGAGCTGGAAGTGGGAGGAAGCAGGACTGCGCGAGTGCTGGAAGCTGCAGGATCAGGATGGATGTGGGGAGTGGATGGCGAGGGCACTGGACCCTTCTGCTCTGAGCTGAACTGTGTATCTCCAAATTCCCATGTGGAAGTCCTCACCCCCGGGAACTACAAATATGACCTAATTTGGAGGGAGGATGGTCGTGTGACTAGTTAAATGAGGACGCCCTCAAATACAGTGGTCCCTCATTCAATAGGACTGGTGTCCTTATGAAAAGGGGACATGTGGACACAGACATGCAGAGGCAGGACACCACGTGAAGGCCAGAGCGATGCTGTCATGAGCCACGAAATCACCAGAAGCTGGGGCAGAGACCTGGAAAAGATCCTTCCCTGGCACCTTCAGAGGGAGCCCTGCTGATACCTTGATCTTGGACTTCTGGCCTCCAGGACTGTGAGAATACACTTCTGTGGCTTCAGCTGCCTAGTCTGTGCTACTTTGCTCTGATGGCCCTAGCAAATGAATGCACCTTCTCTTGACTTCGGGATGTATTTGAAATCTTCCAAAGCGAAAAAAAAATTTTTTTCTCGAGCACCTGTTATGTGTGCCCACCTCCCTGAGCCCTCTGGGGCTGGACACTTGCCTGAGCCTTTTTGCAGATGAGGGTCCTGAACCTGGGAGGGGCGGGTCCTGCTTTGGGGTTTAACCTGACACACTCAGGAGACCCCACCCCACTCTAGGACGATCCACAGAGTTCTGCTGGGCACAGGGCAGCCTTAGAGTGTCGAACACAGAGGTCCAGGTATACAACAGGTGCCAAATACACACTTTATCTTCTGAGCTGCTGGCAAACTACGAGATGCCCTGGAAACAGGCAGGGCTCTTATAATGCTTCTGTTCACACCTCCACAGAGCAAGTATCTTCACCTGAGAAAGGGACAGTAGGTGCTCAATGCTGCTCTCAAAACAAAAACTTTAATACAAAGGCAGCTGAAGTGTTCTGGGCCTGGCACACAGCCATTGCCTAATAACTGTTGCTCTAATCACCTTATACAAAGCTGGTGCCCCATGAATTTACGCACCAGATTAAAAAAAAAAAAATGTGCTTTATAAATCCGAAGGGGTCATCATTGTGAGAGGAGTTAGTCATACTGCCATCTGGGTTCCTGAAAACAAGCACATGTCTAGGTATACAGCAGCTGCCAAATACCCATCTGCTTTGTTTTCTGAGCCACTCACAAACTGCAAGATGCCTGAAAACATGCAGGCTCTCGAGATTTCTGTTCACACATCCACAAGGCCAGAACCTGAGAAACTCGAGGTTCTTGCCTGGTATCCACAGGGCACTTGATATAAGAACAGCCCCTGGCTCCATAAATAGCAGGTGCCAATTAATGCAGGCAAGAATGCCTTGCAAATTACGTAGGGGTTACAAAGCATGAAGGATCATTCACACATGTATCTTACAGTCACCCATAGAGGACCCGGCATGCAGTAGGTGCTTCTTAGGTGCTAGAGTAAAATAAACCTCCCGAGGCTCTCGATAAACATGTTCTCTTCCTTTCTTGCCTGCACGAACATACAACAGGTGCTCAAGACATGCATAGTCCCTTCCTTCACATGTAAGGTCTTGCAAAGGGCATATCCCTGCTCCCAGTATATAGATGGTGCCTCCTAAGTGCACGTTCTCTCCCCTTGGAGCAGCAGCTCTTTGAGTGCACAGTCCCTTCCCCTGTATATTTTGTGCAACCTAAAGGGCACATTCTCTTTGCCTGGCAGCCCCTCCAAAAATGTACTATCCTTCCCTTGCATACAACAGGTGCCTATTAAGTACCTGATCTTCTCTGTACATACCGGGTGCCCAACATTGCCACTATTCTGTGTTTTCCTGTCACCAGGGGCCCCAGGGGCCAGCAGAATCCAGACAGGCAGGGCTCTGAGCAGCCCCCAGACCCCAATCAGAGGCCCTGCTCCGCCCACCCCCACCCCCCCGGCCCCAAGGCCCCAGGCTGCTCACTTGTCAGGCTTGAGGTCACGGTGCACAATGCCGTAGTTGTGCAAGTATTCGAGCGCAAGCACTGTCTCCGCAAAGTACATGCGGGCCATGTCCACAGGCAGTGGGCCCATGTTCTTCAGGAGTGTGGCACAGTCGCCGCCTGTGGGGAGCACAGATGCATTCACAGAGGCCCTGGGCTCTATAGCCTCGCCCCGGGCTTCCAGGGCCACTCCAACCTCCTGCAAAACGTCCCCAGTCTGTACCGAACCAAGGTGGGGACCAAAGTAGGGCAGGAGGGAAGGCAGATCCCGACTTCTGATTCACCCCCTGGAAGGACAGCAGCTCCGTAAGGGCACAGTCCCTTACCCTGTACACAGTTGATGCCTCCTAAGTGCTCGTTCCCTCTCCTTGCATAGAAGCACCTCGATCAACACACACCGCTGCGCTCACCTGAAGGGCCTGCTCATTCTTAAACGGCAAACTTGCTCCCACAACTCCTCTCCCTGGCCTCCAACCATCCCGGCCTTTCCAACCCCCACCTCCCTCCCTTCCCTGCTCTCCCTTCTGGCCTTCAGGCCTCTGCTCACTAGTACCCCTGCCAAAGGCGTCCATCCTAACCCTATCCCCCAGGGTCCTGCTCTCACATTCCTCTTTGGCTCCCTCAGCCCCAACCCCCCAGGATGGGCCCCTGCACCACGGACTGAAGGTCCCCCGAGGCAGGCTGGGACCCCTTGGAGGACAGAGCAGACCCTAGCTTGGTCAAAGGATGGACTATCTTTTGGGTAGAGGGTGAGCTCCCCGTCACCGTAGGCATACAAGTCCTCGTGACCGCACCTTCCACATACTCCATGACCATACACAAGTGGCGCCGGGTCTCAAAGGAGCAGAACATGCTGACCACAAATGGGTTCTCGGCAAAGGTGAGTATGTCACGCTCCACAAAGACCTGTTGGATCTGGTTGCGAAGAATCAGGTTCTGCTTGTTGATCTTCTTGATGGCAAAGCGCTGCCGTGTGTCTCGGTGCCGCACCAGGTAGACAGCCCTGGGGGAGCCGGGGTCACTGAGGCCGGACACTGAGGCCCCCGCAGGCAGTGGGGCCTGGCCTGGGCCCAGAACCCAACCGGCCAGGCCTTTGCCTGTGCTGTGCCCTACATCCGGGACTCCCTTTCTCCTTCCCCGGCCCCTCTCCAAAAGCAGCCCCCCTACGGGTCTAAACTGCCCCTCCCTGGTGTCACATCAAGAAGGCAAAGATGGCCCCTAGGTTACTTCTTCACAGCAGATGGAGACCCTTGAGCTCAAAAGCCCCCCGGCACCAGGCTCAAATTGCTTTATGTAGAGCTGAAATGAGCAGATTTTGAACCATTTAGAGCTTGCCAAGTTTGTGTATCTAGTAAAACTGCCTCGGACTAGCCATCCGTAAGATAAACCCTGGGGGCTACGAAGACCCCAAGGCACTACTGCCTTTTGGAGCAGTCTGACCCAGACTCCTGGCCACACTGCTGAGTGACATCACCTAGACGCATAAGCCCCCTCTCTAGTGCCCCCACTGGATAGTCTTATGCTGTGCAGGACTCCCCCTCCCACCCCACCTCCACGCAAAATCCATCAAAGTGGCACTAAGATAATGCTCACTGCATGCCCCTGCCGCCGCACAGCCATCTTTTTCCTTGCGTAGTCCCGAAATACCTACAATTCTCTGTACCTGGGGCAGGTAACGGCCTAGACCATGGATGAGCCTGTCTGAGGCTCTGGCCTGGCTGTACTGCATCTCTACTTCCCTTGTCAGGCCTCAGTTTCCTATCTCCACAATCAGGGGCCACCTGGACCTCAGTCATCCCCATGGGCATCTGAGAAATGGGTCTATGGGGGACCTGAGGACTTACCCGTAGGCCCCGTTGCTAATGAGTTTGATGGTCTCGAAGTCGTTCTCACATGGCTTCCTCCGTGATGGGCCGACAAGGGCACGGCTCTAGGGGGCAAGGAGGGGTCAGGGTCCTGCCCCACCTCAGAGTAGGCCAGGCTCTCCCTTCCCTCAAGTCCCAACCACTGGGTCTTGCGTCTAATGCTACTTCCTCCTTCCAAACTTCTCCAGCTCAGCTTCTGAGTTTCTGAGCTTTGGCTCAAGTCATGTTTTTCTTCCAGAAAACTCCTATACATCCTCCAAAACTCCCCTTTCCGGTGCCCCCTACAGTCTGGCCCTGCCCAAACACCATGGCAGGGTAGTCTCACTTGCCTTTACCTTCTCCCTTAAGTCTGGTATTTATTAAGCACCTATTACATGCAAAACCTCAACAAACCCAGGCCCTCCCATGGCTTCCTGGTCTACCTTGAAAAGAACAAGACAGGTGGGAGCATCAAAGCTCTGTGACTTACCTCCGGGGACTCAGGTGCTGGAGGCTGTCCTCCCTCTTCCAGGTGACTCAGAGGTACCATCTCTGTAAGACAAGGGAGGAGCCTCAAATGGGGCCTCCATGCCCTGCCCCTCGATACCCCAGAGATTTCCCACGGCTTCCAAGGCTCATCCTGGGCTGGGGACGTGGCACCTCCCTGACCAGCTCCCATGATACCATCATTGAGCCCCTACGACGTCCAGGTCTTGGCCAAACCCAGGAGGCCAGACTAAGCAATAGTTGAGGAACCTTCCAGAAGGACCAGTGGGAAGCCCAGCCTCTGAACGGCGCAGCTGTCATCCTGGCTCCAAGCCTTGGACCTAACACAGGCTGTGACATGGGCCCTCTGGGTTTTGGCTCCTAATATCCTCCTCAGTTTAGGGTGTGGCCCAGAGGGAGCCCCCCCCATTTTCTGGCCCTAGGGCTTAGCAGAGGGGTGGTCCCGAATGAGTGGTTGATGAACATGAGCCATGATAATGGCAATAAAGACAATGTCTCACAGTCACGGGACAGAGGTGGGATGGGACAGTGGAGTCTCACGGGCGAGAGAAGCCTGGGTTTGAATGCAGCCCCTTTTACTCAGTGGGTTCCCCTGGCGGGGGGCACTGAATAGATGATCTGCCCCATAGTCTCAGCTGCCAACTGCCTGGCCACTTTCTGCCTCCTCTGACCCTGGGGCCACCCACAGCGCCACCTGCATTATCTTCACTGGACAGCCGAATACAGCCATGGCCACACAGCAAGTCTTTAAGTGGTTTGGCCTTGGGCCCACCGAGGTCTGAACCCCTCCCTGCTCAACCTCATCTACCCAGAGCCTCAGTCATTCCAGCTTTAAATGGGGACAATGGCAGCTCGGTCCCAGGGTTAACACAGCAATGACGCTGGGTAGACACTGGTCCCAGTGCAAAGCCCTGCCAACCCCATCGCCTCCTCCCAGCTTCCCCCCTTCCTTGGCTCTAGCCACACCCCTCCTCCCCGCTGTTCTGCCCACGCACCAGGCATGGTTCCACCTCAGGGCCTTTGCGTTCACCCTTCCCCCTGCCTGGTTCACTGCCTCTCTTCCCCAGATCTGTACCTGGTCACCTCTCCATCTACCAGCACGCAGCTTACGCATCCACCTTTCACCAGAGCCACCTGTGACCACACCTGGACCAGGCCAGGTCCAAGCTCGATGTTCCCCTAGTACCACGTCTCAGTTCTCCTGCCTCAGCTATCTGGGGGAGTTCTTGACCAGCCTGGTCCAGCCCACGGGTCACCCTGTCTGACTCCGAGTCTACCTCCTGGGCTACAGTCAGATGACATCGGGAAAGTATTTGCAATGCTTTGCTCATGGTAGCTCCCTGGTCCATCTTAACTCGGCATCGGAGGCCCCGGCAAGTCGGAGGGTCTGGCGTGTGGCTGTCTGCTGCAGGAACCCCAGGGCACCTTCCCACAGTGCGCCCCGCAAGTGGCCGAGGGCAGGGCCCCAGACAGACGAAGGACAGTATGGCAGCTGTGAAGTCGACGGGCGTGGGTTCACATCACAGCTCTGCCCCAGCCTCTCCTTGGGTTTTCTTTCCACTCCTCTGTCAGCTCACCCTCGAGGGGGTCCTTAGCCAGGCCCAGCTGCCCGATGATGTACTGCGGCAGGTCCGTCTTGATGCCCTGGCCCTCTCGGGCCTGGCCCTCGGCAGCCTCCAGCAGGTGATAAAACTCCTCGGGGTCAAATTCCTGGGGGTGCAGAGAGGCTGGTCGGCCGGGGCTCAGTCTCACCTCCAGGCCTTGGCACATGCTGTTCCCTCCGTCCGGAGCAGCCCGAGGGGCGGCTCCAGCTCTCCCCTCCAAGTCTCAGTGCCTGACCCTTCCCTGGGGGAAAGCAGCCCAGCCCAGCCTGGAGGTGCCCTGTGTGCCTCTCAAACCTCTACCCCAGGGGCACTGTCTCCTGTACCTCAGCAGGACCGTCACCCAGCCGTGTACGGAGACTCACCAGGCACTCAAGGAGCCTCGCTGGCCTCGAGATGATGATGAGCAGCTTCCGGACAAGCTGGACGATGAAGCCGACCTCCTCGCTGTCTGAGCGCTCGTGGGCCTGGGGGCAGGTGGGTGCTGGCGTCACCTGCAGGTCCTGGGCCCTGGCCTGCCCAGGGATCCCTAAACCTCCCCCCCTCCCACGCACATCTTGCAGCAGCCTCTCCAACTTCTCTTGCATCTCCAGGAAGTAACGGGAGGTGACGAGTGCCTCTCCAGACTTGGCCAGGCAGTCGCGGGCCAGCTCGATGATCTGGTGGTGGATGAAGCCCAGGACGCCATCGGCCAGTGCCAGCCGGGCACCGGGTGCAAAGGCAGCCAGGAACTCCTGCAGACGGCCTTCCATCTGTGCCGTAGCCTGGGCAGGGTGGATGGGGCAACCTGGTCATTGGAGGGGGCTGGGGAGCAACACACAGATGGGGGCAAGAGACACAGCTGCGGGGAGAGACGTGACGATGGGGTCAGAGAACTGGGGGGAGGGGAGAAGCAATATGCCTAGGTTGGGGGAGGGGTGGTTTGAGACAGAGAGACAGGGACAGACAGAAATGGGAGAGAGCGGGGCATAGAGCCAAGAAGACAGAATGCCACGGAGGGACAACAACATGGAGGGGAGTTAGGGCCGGTCCAGCCATCAGCACTGCCCACCTTGGGGAACCTCTCCCGGTACACATGATTCATCATGACGATTTCATTGTCGAAGGTCCCTGTTGTGCGTCCTGGGCTGGGGGTGGGGGGTGGACGACACACAGTCAGCTTGTGACATGGGACCAGAGACCCAGTCCAGGGGAGGCTCAAGGATCAAAGGCCAGACTTGGACAGGGTCAGGGGCAGAGATAGAGGAGGAGCCACAATGTGGGCCCCAAAGCCAGCCCAGGGAGGGGCTGGGGTCAGAGGTCAAGACCCACCTGAGGCTGCGGGAACGCGGGCGAAGGTGGGGTGAGCGGTGGCCGCCCTCCTCGTCAGCCACGCTCTCTGAGCTGCGGAAATGCTTGGACAGGAAGCATAGTTCATCCGGCGTCGGTTGGAAAGGAAGCTGGTGGAGGCGCTCCCGGGAGGATGAGCTTGACTGGCAGGAGGGGGTATCAGGGCCACGAGTTCACAGTCAGCGCCAAAGCCAGAACCCCCGCATTACCCGTCAAGGCCTAGGCTGCCTGCTGGTCACTGGATGGTACTACGTTCCTGCCTGGCTCCTATGCATCCCTCAAAACCCTAGCTCTGATGCCCCCTCCTCCAGCAAGCCTCCCTGCCTGCACCCTAGGTAACTCCAAGACTCCCTCTGGCCAGGCACTAACCCCACGGGATGAGGATGTCTGTGTCCTCCAGACTGGGGGCTCCTTGGGACTGAGGCTGGGTCTTTTCAGTGACCCATACATTGCCCAGAATGGGGCACAAAGGGGGCAGCCAGGATGTTGGCTGACTGGACAACTATCCAACACCTTGATAAAAACCAAAGACGTGTCCCGCCCCACCTCGCACCCGCCTGTCTGCTGGCCAAGGTGGGACTGTGGGTACCGAGACGGTGGAGCTGGGCGTGTTGGTTCCATAGCCAGAAGATGGGAGGGATGCAAGGGACCATCTTCTGCCGTCAGCCCTAGAGAGGAGAACCAGAATAGTTGGAAGGAAGGCATGGCCCCCATGGTTTGTGGGGACTAAAGACAGATACCATGGCTGGCCGATTCTGGCCCTGTTGGAGGAAGAATCTTCTGGAAAGGCTGAGAATAGAGATTCAAGGTGAACAAGTCCGCTATGTGTTTTCTCTTCATCCTTCAGACACCTCCTCCAGGAAGTCCTCCCTGACCCAGCTGCCAATGCATACCCCATCAAAGCTCCGACTTCTCTGAGTTGCAGCTGCTGGGATACATGCTGGTCACCCCCACCAGACTGAGGACTCCCCAAAGGCCAGAGTCCAGCTTCCCCTTCCTCGACCTCCAGCATAGGGTATGGCACATGGCAAGTACTGAATGAATGTTACGGAGTGAATGAGTGACATTTAAGCGCCCAGTACACAACAGGTCCTTCACCAGCTGTTATTAAATGAATTCATGACTTTTAGTGAGTTAATGGTTTTTAGACTGGAAGGCGTGCCCTCCTCCTCCCCAAGGGCTCCCTGAAATTACCTGTCCACGCGCGAGATGTGGCTGCAGAAGGCCGTGCATGTTTGCCAGGGGCAGAAGCCAGAGGGAGAGACCACCACGGGGCAGGGGATAGGGGAGGGGAAAAAGTGAATGAGGAGGCAGGCCCAGCCACCAAGCACATGCCCCTGCCTGTCCCCTCACCAGCTGTGCGGACACCATCCCTCAAAGACAGTGACCACTCACCTTCGGGCAAAGGGGAAGTTCACAGCAGATGCGGCTGAGAAGTTCCGAGGACTATCCAGGGGGCTGTTGCCTGCTGGGGAGGAGGTGGGGGACACTGAGTCAGAGGGGGTAAAGACAGGACACTGCCCCTGCATGCTTGTTCCCGCACTCACCTGTAGGGACAGAGAGCGGAGAAAGGGGCCGGGAAAGGGTCGGTGAGGGCGTTCCTACCACGAGGCTTTTGCGGTTCCCACTACGGCAGCTGTTGGGAGAGAGGGAATGGAGTCAGGCGCTGGTCCAGGCCTCCAGGCTCAGAGGACCGCGTGCCCAGGCCAGAGCACACATATGACCATACATATGGCTTTGGGGCAGGACGAGAAGCTAGGTGTGACCACTGCCACTCTGGCCCCAGCTGGATGCCCACAGGGCCCCAAGCTCAGCCTCTGGGGCCTGGGATAGCCACTTTTGACAAATATTACCTATTATTAAGATTATGGTGGTTATTATCGATGGCGGCATCAAGCACTTCCAGCCTCCTGATGGACCCTGCCCATGGCCAGGAGCCCCTGGCTCGCCTTCTCACGCTTCTGTGTTCATGATCCCACCCCCACACCTTTGCCTATGCCATGCCCACTGCCAGGAGGACGGACAAATAAGGCAAAGGGTGGAGAGGACCCTGGAGCCCACTGGGAATTGAGGCAGGTCCCCACTCCATCCCATGCACCCCTTCCCAGGCCCACGGCCCCAAATGTCTCGGCAACCTTCCTCCCCCGGATCCCCCCAAAATGCCAATATGACCCTTAAAAACCCTCAAGTCAGCATCTTGCAGCTAAGTCCTGTCCTACTTAACTTTTGCCCATGCATTTCCCTCCCTCCATCCCAGCCCGCTTCTTCCAGGCCACCCCCACCCTGGCCCAGCCTCTCCCACCTGTGCCCCAGCCCCAGCCCCCCGCCCTGGCAGAGGGAAATTGAGAGCAACTCCGTCTTCCCTCCCTCCCTGGTGCGGTCGCCCAGCAACAGCTCTGCCTGCTCTCGACAAGAGCATCAGCCCACATACTCTGAGCCGCCAACGCAGCTCAGTGGCTCAGGGAGGAAGAGATGAAACCTCAGGGCCTCACAGGGCCAGGAATGGTGTCCCAGGCAGAAGGCACAGTGCAGGCTAAGGCACGGGACAGCATGGTCAGCAACCAACCGAGGCAACAAGACAGGCAGGGAGGAGGGATCCAGCCTGTCCACGGCTCCAGGTGCAGCTGCCCTCTGAGCCTCAGTTTCCCCATCTGTATACCTTGCAAGGCACCGGGAAGATTTGATGAACTACATACACAGTGTTCAACTTTGGGCCCAGCACTGGGTAGACTGCGGTGGGCACGTACAGTGTCGTCTCTCTCCCCACAACTCCTGCAGGGCCTGGGACGCACAGCGGGGGGGCGGGCAACGCCTCCCCAGTGAAGTCAGTCACCGTTTGCCTATCCCAACAGCCCCAGAGGTGGGAGACATCACCTGCACCCATTTTCCAGCCTAGGAAACTGAGGGCACAGATGTCAACAGCCGCAGGAACTGTCCCGTAGTCTGATGTGCAGAAGCAAAAGTGAAACCCACAGGTTCCTGCAAAACTTCCTGCCAACACCCCCCCCCAACCCATATAGCCGCCAGTCCCACATCCTCTCCCAGCCCTCATCTGGGTCCTCAGCCCCACACTGCAGCATTTGTCACAGCAGCAGCCTTGGGGAAACACTTGGCCCACCTCCCTCTTGCGCTCAGGTGGGGCCTTCTTGAAAACAAAGCCATATCTGAGGTCTCAAAGGGGAACCTGGGCGTCATTTGTTCACTTGCCGAGCATCGGTCAAGTGTCCACTATTTGCTCAGCCCTCCCTAAAGAAGGCCCACGACCCTGAGAAGCTGCCTGGCCATTCAATAAACACCCATGTGGGACAACACAGAGTGAGAATATGGCAGAAAACACTGGCCTGAGGCCAGCTGCCCCCACCTGATCCCTGAGGTGCCCCTAAGCCCTCTCTCACTCCACAGGACGCAGAAGAGTCTAAGCCCTGAACCTAGTATTTGGGGTCCTTTAGCAGCTGCTGTCCCTGCCCCGCCTTTGCCTGTGCTCCCCTCTAGGAATGCCCCAACAAGAACAGAGAGGTTAAGGAACTGCCAGGCAGTGGCTGAACTGGAATTTGGACCCAAGTCCTGTAAAGTCCACAGCCCTTACTGGGCCTTTGCTTTTCAGAAAGGGAAATAGAGACTCCAAGACAGGCCAGGCTTTGCTGTGGTTAAACCCAGTGTTTTTCCCGATTTACCCACTTGTGCCACAGCACCTGCACGCCAGCCTCGTGCAGCAAATATCTGCTTCTGAAACAGTATTTCCGCTGACGGGGCCCCGGGGACAGACTAGCTTTAGTTTTTCCAAGAAGATCCTCCCCAGGTCGGCCCAGGCCTAGGGACCCGGGTTCGAATTCTGACTCGGTCCCAACTCCTTGCTTCCTGTGTCACCACCCTAGCTGCGACCCCGGCAGGCAGACATCCAACTCCGGGTAACAGGGCGAAAGGAGGGTGTCTGGGCCCCTAGCGAGTACCTTGATCCCAAAGCGTCCACCCCCTTCCCCCTACCGCCACACACAGCGGCCCTCGCCACGCCGCCGGGATGTACTTCTGGCAACTCGTGTTTGCTTGGCCGGCCGCCGCGCCTTTGCCCGCACGGTGCCCCCTACCTTTTGGAGCGCTGCAGCAGCGCGCCCTTGGCAAGGCGGCTCCGGTGGCCTGGCGCAGCCACCGCCGTCCAGTAGCTGGGGTCGGACATGCTGCTTCTCTTTGTGCCGCCGCCGCCGCCCGAGACCCGGGAGGCGCGGGGGCGCAGCCAGCGGCGGCGGGGCGCGAACCTCCGCGGCCGGATTGGCCCCGGGAGCCCCGCGGAGCGGGGCAGAGGGTGCGCGCCGCGGGGCTGGGGGTAGGGGACGAGAAGGAAGCGCGCGCCCCAGAGCGCGGCCGGGAACCCCGCCCCGGAGAGCGCGGGGGCGGGGCCTCTCGGAGGCGGGGCCTTTCGGGGCGGGGCGAGCGACGCGGAAGCGAGGCTGGTGGACCCGCGTGCTGGCTTAGTGGGCTGGGCGTTGCCAGGGCCGCGGGCGGAGGGGCGGGGCGTTGCCAGGGCTGCAAGCAGCGGGGGCGGGGCGTTGGCGCCCGGTAGGTTAGGCCGTGGAACTTGGCCCCTTTCCCTTGAAATGTAAATCTGTTCACGTCCCCTTTTCCCTCTCCCCCCCCCCCCCCGTGCTAACCCATTCTGAGTGTGGCACTTGAGAACTATCCAACGGCCTGGCCTGGCTCATGCTACCGCACCCACGCTGGCTCCACTTCTCGGAACGTCCTTCCTGCCTGGCAAAATCCAGGGTCCAGTCCCCTCTCCCAGGGAGCCTTTTCTTGTGTCTGGCTCTGTCTTCCCAAGGGTCCCAGCATCTCCCAGCCCTGGACTGCCAGAAAGAGCATGTTTAACAAACTGAGTCAGAGCATCTGACATGCTCTGCCTGTGTGATGGAAAGGCCATCAGCCTGGCTACAGTCAGGACTCCTTGGACACCTAACTTAACTTCTCCCGCCTGTCTTCTCAATTGTAAGATGGGAGGGGAACCGGGTTGACAGGATGATTACATGAATTAGATGCAAGGTGGCACCCACAGTGCCTGATACATGTTCGAAAAATGTTAGTGTCAGGCTAACTTCCAGGCCTCTGCTTCTCCATCTAGAGATGTCCCTTCATGAAAATGGAATCAAATCAGAGGGACAGAAAGTGCTGGGAGTACAGTACATGCTCACCACAGAAACAGGACTGCCTCGGGGCGCCTGGGTGGCTCAGTCGTTAAGCGTCTGCCTTCGGCTCAGGTCATGATCCCAAGGTCCTGGGATCGAGCCCCGCATCGGGCTCCCTGCTCCGCAGGAAGCCTGCTTCTCCCTCTCCCACTCCCCCTGCTTGTGTTCCCTCTCTTGCTGTGTCTCTCTCTGTCAAGCAAATAATAAAATCTTTAAAAAAAAAAAAAAAGAAAAAAGAAATAGGACGACTGCCTCACACAGTAGGCAGTGAATTAATGCTTCTTCCTCTCATGACAGTCCCAGAAGGCAGGGATAGTGTCACCCTAACGGTGGCCCCTTCACAGGCCACATGACACTTTGGGAATCAACCCAAGAGGCCTGACGCTGAAGCCCAGATCCCACATCTGAGAAGAGAAGGCATAGAGAGGTGCCCTTGCCTGGTGTGTAATCCTAACTCTCCCCAACCCTCGTGCCACAATTTTGCTTCTCGGGTCTCTCAAGAGACTCCCCACCCTATCTTCATGGCCAGTGTCACTCTCAGGTATCTCCTGGGTGTGTCCCCTAGAACGCTCTCCATCTCCAGGTCCCCCAGGCCTGGGTCTCAAACACCCATATCTGGTCATTCACTCACTCAACATTTATTGAGTACCTACTGTGTGCCTGACCTTGTGCTAAACCCTGAGGACCCCGTCCTCAGAGGCCCCAAGTCCGGTTGAAGAGGCAGAGAGTAACCTGGAAACAATGAAATGATCGAGGTAATTTCGAACACTGAAGTCAAGGAAGGAAAGGAAAGAGGTAACAATGGCAAAGGATGACCTTAGCCCGGAGGCCTCTCTGAGGAGGCGACACTATGGCCAGCCGAGACATTGAGAAGGAAGAGGAGCCAGCCATGGAAACAGTGTTCCAGGCAGAGGGCACAGCTTCGGCAAAGGCCCTGAGACAGGACTGAGGGGAAGATGCCAGCAGGGCTTACCATGGAAGCCTTGGGCATTGCAAGAGGAGTGCAGTTGTATAGTGGAAGCAATGGGGAGCCATGGAGGATGTGAGAGCAGGGGAGGAGCGTGATCTGAATTGTCACACCCCCCCCCTTAACTGCCACGGGGAACAGGAGCTATCGGGCAGGAATACAGATGGCAGGAGGCTGGTGAGATGCTGTGACAGGGTCTGGGAGGGGGGACACTGAGGCCTGGACCAGGGTGAAGCTGTGCAGAAAAGTGGGTAGATTCGGGACTTGTTTTGAGGCCAATGGATGGGTCCTGCCGAGGGGCCAGATGTGGAAGGGAGGAGGGAAGCGGTCACTTCTGACCCTTAGGTATTCCATCTGAGCCATAGGCCAGGGACAAGGCCTCCTGCATGCAGGGAATGCAAGATCCCACAGGTCTGGGGACCCAAGGAGGGAGAGAGTCATGGTCTCATGTTACCCTATGCTGACATGCTGTGCCCACGAACCCTCCCCGCCATGTGTGCCAGGGACACACTGCTGCGCAGTCAGGAAAGGAACTACCCCGCTCAATCCCAGCTGTGGCTGCACCCCGCACCGCCTACATGCCCCCCATTAAGCCCACGGCTCTGGCATCCCCAGCAGCCACTTCTCCCACGCCCATCTGGCCCTGGTTTCCTCCTCTGCAGAACAGGGCTGCAGCTGACAATCCAGAGTGCCTGTGGCCGCGGCAAAAGCCTCCCATGAAAGGCTGAGCCACTGATCTCTGGCACCAGCCCACTGCCCACCAGATCCTGTCTCTCCCCGGCTCACACACCCTCCATGGCTCCTCACTGCTTTTACAGCAAAACCACACTTCTGGGTGAATCCCTCTCCGAGGGCTCAGATCCTAACCCTGTCTGCGACTCAGGATCTGCCCCCCTCTGCTTGTGCTAATGACTGTGTAAATGGCAAAGCCGCAGTGAGCGTACAGAACCCTACCCCCCTACCCCCAACCCTTTCTTGGTCTGACCACCCCAGCCCTTCCCACCTGCCCATGTACTGTCTGCACCCCTCCCAGCCCCATCCGCTGTGTGGTTCTTAGTACCCTGGAGAGAAAAATGCAAATTCTTCCCATCTTTGGCATTCAAGGCCTCAGAGGGAACACTCTTCTGACAATGCCTTTTGTTGCGATCTTGTCAGAGAGGGCCAAACTCGTGGCCTTCTTCAGTTACCTCCCATCCACCACCACCACCACCACCACCAGGCAGAGCCCTCCTACCTACTTCCCATTTGTCCATGCCACAAGCATTAACTGAGCATCTGCTGTATACCAAGCCCTGCCCTAGGACAGAGGACAGATCCAGGTCTGGTCCTCAAGGGGCTCCCAAGCCTCTGGGTGAGAAAAACAACCCAATAATCACACAAGAAAACATGGAAATCACACCCATGATGCAGTGTCCATGAGGGAAATGGACAGGCATAATGGATGTAATTGGGGCTTGGGAGACCCTGAATGGGGGGCTGTGGTTTGGAAAAGCTTCCTATCTGGTGCTTGATAGAGACTTGACAAATGAAGAAAGGAGGAAAAGGAGGAAATGGAGCTCTGGGCTGAGGGGCAGCACATGCAAAAGCCCTGAGATTGGACCAGCTTGTGCTCTGGCAGCCCAGGAAGTCTCATGGCTAGAGGAGCGTGAGCCAGATGGGGAGATAGACAGGGAGGAGGTGGGGGGGTCGCAGGGGCCAGACTCATGGGGCCTCAGCGGCTGAGGGAACAAATGTGGGCTTATTCCTAGGGTGCTTGGGGCAGGGGAGGCAGGGGGACCCATTTCCTTGCCTGGCCCAAAGTGATGTGGTTCTGCTGCCCTCTGGTGGTGGGTGAGGAGGCTTTTCTGCTCAGAGCCCCAAATACTCTGCCTCCATTTGCTCCTGGTTAAAACTGGCTGAGCTGTTCACAACAGGTCCCTCCCCTCATCCGGTAACTCTCGGGAGGGTAGAGGCCAAGGAGTCAGTGTCAGATTTGGCCTGAAACTCTCTCCCAGGGTGCCGCTGGACAACACACTCTTAAGAGCTGAGTTTCCTCCTCTCCTAAATAGGGGGTAGAGCAATCCCTGCCTCCCACTGGACACCCTGACCTGGTCCAGCCCCCATCATCTCCTACCCGGATATTGTCCTAGCCACCTCCCTGACTCTGCCACCTCCATTACTGTCACCTGCCCCCAGCAGACCTTTCTTTCCCCAAAGCAGCCACAGAGGCTTTAAAAAATCTTGGTCCTGGGGCACCTGGGTGGCTCACTTGGTTAATGTCTGCCTTCGGCTCGGGTCGTGATCCTGGGGTCCTGGGTCGAGCCCCGCAACGGGCTCCCTGCTTGGCGGGGAGTCTGCTTCTCCCTCTCCTCCCTACTCATGCTCTCTCTCACTATTTCTGTCTCTCTCAAATAAATATAATCTTTAAAAAAAAAAAAATCTTGGGGGCGGCTGGGTGGCTCAGTCGTTAAGCGTCTGCCTTTGGCTCAGGTCATGATCCCAGAGTCCTAGGATCGAGCCCCGCATCAGGCTCCCTGCTCAGCGGAGAGCCTGTTTCTCCCTCCCCAGCTCCCCCTGCTTGTGCTCTCTCTGTCAAATAAATAAATAAAATCTTAAAATAAAATGCAATAAAATAAAACACCACCTCCCCCAAGAGGTCACCATCTGAATGTATCCTGTTTGTCCACTCACTTGTTTATTGCCCACCTCCTGAGAGCTGACTGAGAGCCCCCTGAAGGAGGGGCTATGTCAGTCTTGTTCACAGCGACGCCCTTAGCACCGGGCTTGCAGTAGGTGCCCACTTAATGAAGGTAACTGTTACCCAGCACCCAGTGTGGGCTCCAAATTGTTCTCTCTTCTCCCCATTAAAGGTCTGTGGAAAGAATCTAGGCAGCTCACTCATACTAAGGTATAAATGATTAATGGGCCCTCGAATTCTAGACATCACTGACTCACACCTCTGTCGCCTCCCTGAACTTTTCCCAAGCCGTGCGAAGAGCCCATGATAATCCTGATATTCCCTCCTGTAGGGGGGGTGAGACCCTGAGATGCGCCAGGCACGCAGGGTGGCTCAAACCCTCAGTAGACGCTGGCAGCCATGCTGGCCCTGATACTTAGTCCCCAGACGTACTGAACCAGGAGAACTGGTGTCTCTTCTCTGAGCCTCGGTTTCCCCAGCTGAGAAATGGGGTCAGGAAGGGCACCTCCCTCACGGGGTTGTGGAGGAAACAGAAGGTATTTGGTACAGAGCTGGCACCCAGTCAAGCTGGCTCTTCCTCCCTACACCACTTTGCCCGGTTCAGTGCATCGGGCTGTCATGGTGAACTGTCAGCCTTGGTGTGTGTGTGTGTGTGTGTGT